GAAACCAATTTAGCCAAGGACGGTTCACTGCAGTAGCGATTATTCAGTGACAGGTTCTGTAAAAAAAACCATAGATTTTTGTACAAAGATAAATTTAGGCATGAAAAATGCTTTTTTTTTTTTTTAAAGTCTTGTAACTGCAAAAGCAAGGTAGAAATGGGAATCATCAAAATACCACAGCACTCCGTGATAATCTTAGAGCTATGAATCACTATTTTATTGCTAAATTAGTTTAGAAAAATTCCACTAAATTAACTCTTTCACTTACCCTCATTTGGTTTTGCTTCCCAACCCAAGCGAAAAGCCAGTGGTGCTAAAATTTTCACCACAAATCTGTTGAATTTCGCGCGTACGAAAGGATCGTAGTGCGACAAGATGTTCGACAATGACGAAATGCCTAAAATTCATCAATAACCTTGAAAAAATATGGAAAAAATTCACTTGAACATCCTATGAAATTATGCTGGAAAAATAATCAACGTATCAAACGATAATGGCATCAGTTTTAGACATAATTTGACCTTTCTTGTGCTTGTTTTTATAAATTATTTCTTAAAAGCCGCAGTTTTTTCTAAAAGAAGTGTACCTGCATCAAGCGTATCCCAGACTATGTAATCATCTTCCTTGGAGGAGGATTCAAGCACTGATAGGAATTTTTTCGCCGATACCTGTCCTGATTTGACCTGAAATAGTTTCTCCCCCGTGATAAATTTAACCAAATTTTATCATTTATCAGTGCTTTCGACCAGTAACATGAACAAATAAAATCTGAGGTTGAATAACGAAAAATAGTATATTTACCAGTGCGAACATGTCATTTGCGATGCCGAAACGATCCAGTACGGGAATTTTCTTGAACTTGAAACTGGCCAAAAGTTTATGAAGCATATCATCTGCATACATGACACGATAAAATCCAGTTGTCCCAACATTCAGCTACAACATATCATTAGCAGTATTTTTCATAACTACGACAAAACTGGCCACACTTCAAATTGTCTGTTTTCTTGTATTTTACGAGATGTTGCGAGAAAATTAACGCCGTCTCCTCACCAATTTTGTAAATGACAATTTCGATCGCAAAACTGTATAACAGAGCCGCAAAGCTCCCTCCTGCTATGAGCCTGGCTGTCTTTGGTATTTTTCAAAATTTATACAATTAACTTTCAACATTATAACTGTGCCTCCACCTCTCTCAACAGTGATTCTGCAGACCATCAGAAAAAGATAAGCGTTTCTAACCGCCAAGAATGGTGGAGATATATTACGTTTCGTTCAGAAATGAAAAAAAATGATAACAAATGCTAAGAAAATCAGCATTTTCCGAGTCTGATATTATACGATTGGACGATGATGAAATTTCATCATCACACGCACACATAATTATATTTTGCTTCCTAAGTGTTGCGAATCTAAAATCACCTTAATCCAGTGGTTCGGCTCAACGCCATCAATAATAACTTCCTGCTCACGGTCCTTCAGCAACATTCTTTCACGTACTTTATCCGGCTCGGCTGATGTAGAAATTGTTATTGGGACCTGTAAATTCCTTAAAATCTTCGCAATCCAAACTAAAGCGTTAATTTCCTAGAAATTCCAGACGATGCCTCCCTCCACCCGAAAAAAACCCCCAAATTATAGAAAGCATCAATAGAAAATTACTTATTTTCAAACGAGCTAAAACAGACCTATTTTTGCTACTTTTTTAAATATATAATCTAATAATGTGGCCGCTTTTTGTACGGAATAAAGTTCCCATTGGTGCTTTTAAGCGATCACTGCTGGCGCATTTTTCCCTAGCTGATAACTCTTATGAACAAAGATGAGAAGAACTGCCAACAAGTAGGTTGAGGATACAAACAAGCGCAAGAAATTTGACTTATTTACTGTAAATATTTGGTAACAAGAAAAAAAAATTTTATACCATTTAAAAACCTAATTATATATTCGTCCCTTTATCCCCGTTTCTGGTCCTATTTTGGAATGCACTTGCATTCACAAACATTCCGCTTTTGTTATTTTTCCTTTCAATTCCTTTTTTTAACCCCCTTAAGAACCTTTATTTCCATTTTCCCCTTTCACATTTCACTTTACCTTAATTACCTTTTTCGCATTTTTCAATCTCTCCAAAAAACTATCACATCCTCTTTTAGGGCGGTTCTTATACTCTTTATAGACCTCCCTATCATTCTTCGAGGTCTCCGTTTCTCCTCCAGCTTTACGACGGCTCTCAGTCTCCTCGAACGACATCATCCCCGGCTCTTCAAGGTTTTTGGGACTCGGCTTCGTCTGGCACTCTTCTGGGCCTAATCGACCATTTTCAGCTATAACGACTTTTGCTTGGCAAGCTCACAGACTCGATAGATTTCAAGCGCCACACTTCGTGCTGTTTATTTGCTGTTTGCACGATTCATCATCAGTAAGTCATAAACTTGATTTTGCTTCTCTACAGTGCGCGTACGTTCAGAACACCACGCCACACAGCGATCCACACACGTAAACACTCATCCCATAAAAATTTTTATTCTACCAGTCTTTTTGGAAAAATCACTATCAGGCTGACTACGGAATAATGCATCTATGCAACTTAACTGGGCCGATTGCGCTGATAATTTCCACGAAGATGCACTGATATGGAACTGTAACTGATAAATGTGCCAAGGAAAACTGGTCGAAGCATTCCAATCGTGCAAAATTCTAATTTCCTGTTAAAACGGGATAAAGGCAGTGGTATTCTTACCTGCCATAACGTGTTATTTTCATCAGCGCTTCCGTCAGCAATGAATCTTGCTTGACTGAGCTTCAGAATTCTCTTGTTACCATCAATTTTTTGACTGACAGTCACAAGCGGGAAGCCTATCTGCTTCGTCCACGTTGACATCAATGTTTTGATATCCTGAACTTCAAAAAATGACAAGAGAAATTTTACGAAAACTCCTTAATTACAGCGTATCATTACATAAAATCCCTAGGGAAATATGACTTCAGGAAAAACTGAGGAATTGCTTTTAACACAGGAAATCCACTGTACTTTTCTAGCAAACAAATTAAAAATAGCTTAAGGATGAATTTAACTACAGCTCAAAATGCCCGTTCTTTTTCAAAAACGAAACAAAACACTAACACAAAAACAAGATATTATGTCTTGTCTGATGGAAAAATGTACATTTCGTATCACAAAACGACTAATAGGGCTATTTTAGGTATCCAACAGAAATCCGTAATCACTATAGAGGAATGAAAATTACAAAAATCCACGTGTTTGTGCACGAAATTGGGAGTGTTTACCTGTCCGGAAGCTTCGCCCAGTGCATCCCATAAATCAGCAGTGACTGCATTACTG